CATTTTTTCTTTCCTTGATTATAATAATATTATGATTATGGTAGTTCTGTATTGTGATACGTATAATGATAAGATAGGAAATCCAGTGTTTGCACACGATGCGATTAGCTCCAGAAACTATCAAATTATATAGTCACGTTGACTGAAACAAAAAATTGTTTATAATTTTAAAAGTATTCATTTCTCAGCCTATGTTCATTAGGATTTTTTCATTTTATTCGACGAATACTGTCTATACTGGAGTTCTGAATATTCTTTTATCACAAGTTACAGAGTTTTTGTGCGTCAAGTTATAGAGATTTTTATCGCGGAGCGGAAGAGAATGAAGAAACTTTACGAGTTGCCGAGGTTCGATTGTATTCTACATGTCATCTTGTTTTTTATTAGTTTTTAGTATATCTTTTTATCACTTCTCTTTACTTTCTCTTCATAACGGTTTTCTTACGTCAGTCTTTTACTGCTACTTTATGCTTCGTCTTTTTATTCCTATTCCATCCTTTATCTTCTTTCGCGAGCCATAAATGACAGAAACAACTCTAAGTTTCCAATCAGTGCTGCATATCACTGAAAGAAAGCTAAAAACCACAAGCAAAAGTCGCATGAAAAGGTACAACGAACCATCAAAAGCCTTCAGGTTGTTGTTCTTTCGTGCAAAGCTGCCACAAGAGACCCAGCCACACAACTACGCTTTCCCTCACCAACGTACACCATCATTTCTTCCTGTACCTCTTTCCATAAACCATAAATACCAAAAACAACCCCAAATCCCCAATCTGCGGTGCACCCTACTCAAAGCTAAAAACCACACGCAATAGTCGCATCGAAAGGTACAGCGAACCATCAAAAGCCTCCAGATTGTTGCTCTTTCGCGCAAAGCTGCCACAAGAGACCCAGCCACGCAACTACGCTTTCCCTCGCCAACATACTGTACTATTATTTCTTCCTGTATTTTTTCCCATAAACCATAAATGACAGAAACAGCTATAAGTTTCCAATCCGCGGTGTACCCTGCTCAAAGCTAAAAACCACAAGCGAAAGTCGCATCGAAAGGTACAGCGAACCATCAAGAGCCTCCAGATTGTTGCTCTTTCGCGCAAAGCTGCCACAGGAGACCCAGCCGTACAAATACGGTTTTCCTTGGCGGCGTAAGTAGAAGTTCCTCGAATGTAGCGAACGGTCATATTGACGGGGGATGCGTTATATGTTCGCCAGTGCTCGCACGGACTTCGATAACACGGGGACACGCGCACGAAGAAGGAAGGGGGTGGCTTACACTCGGATGGCCCTGACGGCCGCGTCCTGCTCAGTCGTCGTGCGATAGTCGGCGCGGGGTGACGTGCAACGCGTTATGCACTGCGCGAGATCATCCGCGAATCATTTCCGGTCCACAGCCACGGCACACTGTGCTCGTGGGCGCACGCAACAACGGCGATCGGTTCTCGATAACCTTTTCCGAACTCGCGGCTAGTGTATCCCCGAGGCTAGGCCGTGTGAGTCGGTCTGTTCGATTCCTACATTCTTTCATGCTTCAGAATCGTTGCGTTCGCTGTTGTACCCCTCCGATTAATCGAAAAACGTTCCCAATCTTTCCCGACGAGATTGGAACACGAGGAAAAAAACGCTTCTGTACGCAGTTCCGTTGCTCCCCTTTGCGACGAACGCTTCTCCGAGCGACTTCGTCGAATCCCGATTGACAAATATGTTTTGTGATTTGCAATTAACTGTCCTTGACGAGATTAATTTTGTTTTTCTTCCACCGCGGACTCTCCGGTATCATATCTTTCCGTTTGTTCGCCGGGTCGATGTAGTTTACGCGTATTGCACTCGACACAATGAACCGGTGCAGTCTGGAAGTTCGTACGATTTCGAAAATTCTCGTTCGGTTCCTCGAGTGTCGCCGGTTATTGGTTCAATCTGCACCGGGGTGCGATTCGCCGGTGGTTTACGTCGTGGTACTTGCTATAGCTTGTTCGGTTTAAGTTACCGAGTCTTCGAGTTCGTCGGATTAGTCGCATCGGATGCGGTTTTCGAAGTTGTATCCTCGACTTCGTTGATTTCGTCGAGTCGTTCATTTGATCTACGACACTCTATTCCAGATTACACTTTTGGATAGCGTTAACAATACGGAAATGAATCGTTCAATTGAAATTCTCTTAATCGAAAGAACCTATCGATCCGTGCGCGTTACGTTCACCGTTTACTCTTACATCATTCCACTATAAATTGGAAACGATTCATTTGTCACGAGTGCTCCTAAACGTAGAGGTACAGCGAGTGCGAACGTCAACGAACGATTTCGATTGTCTGTTCCAGTAAGGGGTGAATGATGGCTGCGAATGCGCTCGTAGAACATTAGCCGGTACTTATTTCGATAACGTAAAGCACGACAAGTGGGAAGAGTCCTTTCTCCGCAGTTCGCAGAAATGCTCCGCGCGACCGATAATCTAATTAAAATTATCTTATCGGCATACAACTTCCGAACTAAAAATGAATGAAACGGGATTGGCGAGCACGATACGTAACATGGACTAATTAACAGAAAAAAGAAAAAGAAAACATAGGCGTACATGAAAACGATATGCCAATATCGCGTGCGAGCGATTTAGTTTTAATTCTGTGGTCGGAGTAAGACGAGACTAAGAGGAATAACAGTGGCAACAGGGAAACCGGGTAGTTTCGTCCTCCACCCCTCCGCTTCCTCCCTCTTTTTTTTTGGGGCGATAGTTAAACGTGTGTATGCAAGAGAAGTAACGAACAAGAAGGATACCGTAACATGTTCGCTGGTGCGAACGAATCGAAACGATGGCTGAGGGATAATAAAATACTCTTGAGGTAAATTAACATAGTGCGGTAATCAAGATTACGTGTACAGTTTGACGGGCAATGGTCGCTAGTAAAAATAGTTTCGATCGCGGTGCCTCTCTCGTCATTGGATTATTTTCATCGCCTCGATATCGCTTTTAAAATAAAGTCGAAATTCGCAGCTTGATCCTTCACGGATAAAGCCTGAGATATTTCGATGGCGTACGCTTGCCAGCTACGATCTTAATATACCCGTACATATTTTAATTAGTCTTGTTGCGGCTGAGCTAATAGTTTATCGGTGACAAATTCAAGTATAGTGGAATGACATCGGTCGGTACTTTATCCTCGAGTTGTCATCGCTTTCAGGGAATCCATTAGTTGCAACTGTGAACGAATTTATGTTATCTCTTCCTTTTACCCCTTTCTTTTGTTCTTTTTTAGTATACGTCAGATTTTAATTTTCTGCACGGAGTATGGAGATAGTGGATGAAATTTGAGTAAATTTGAAAGTTGATGCTGTGCAACGTAGAATCTCCAGTTAGCAAGGATTATACTAGATTACAGCAGTTTTGCTTTTAATCTGTTTAGCGCTTCTGCAATGATGACGTTCACGTGTGAATTTAATGGGACGTTTTTCAGTATGCGTCCCACCCTCGACCACGTGTTCACTGCGGTTCTGTATTCGATTGCGTAATCGCTACTAACATTGTGATCGAGATGAACGAACGCTTGCTTTCGTTACGTTGCGTTTAGTAATGGAGTAGTGAATAGTACAGGTTGTTTAGACATGTTACTTTAATGCGTTTATTGTTGACACGTTCGGTTTTATACGATTTTCGATGGTTTTCTTTTGCGTGAATAGCACGCACGTGTATTTGGAGGAAAGTGTAATGAGAATTTCGTTGTGGTTTATTGTGATTCTTTTCTAATTTAGTTCGTTATTTATATAATTTTCGAATTATAATTCGTTACCTTTTTATATAAATACTTTACGAATTCAAGGTAACCGTTTCCCTTGTGCTATCGAGTCGAACACGCGGCGAAGATTTTAAATTGCGTTTCATACGTGTCAATTGATTAATTCAACTCCTTATTTTATGATATTGTGTAAGACTCGTGACGAAGGTTGTACATTGAATTCAATAAATGTTGATATTATTCGATTCACGTCAGTCGGAAGGCAATTGTGTTTCCCGTCGATGAATGTTTAACCTTTACAATAAATTGAATTTCTCTGTGAATATGCATATTTCTTTTGTTACCGGGAAATTATTAACATTGAAGTGATTCTTCCCGGTTCAATCGGGAAGAAAATTATCAGACAATGGCTTGTCTCGAAATATCGAAACCGTCGCAACCATCGAAAAGAAATTAATAAGTAACATTACAAAACTATTGATCCGAGATATTCGGAACAATAGTTCTGCTCAGGCACAATACACCATAATTAAAGAGTTCTTGTAAAAGAACACTGTAAGTCCCAAAATTAAAAAATTTCCTTTCTCCATTCTCAGGCTGTAGTAGATAATTTAAGTGCGATTTTCCTTTCGCAAGTATATCATTAATAATAGCAGTCCTCCATAATACCGATAACGTTGAGAGATGACATCATTGTGACATATCGTTCCACGCAATGTTGGGTAACTTTCTTCCTCCTCCTGAAAAATGTCACATCGACACTTACAACTTCGAACTGACTTTTTTTACACATACTCTTCGACCCAAGGAATTATGTCGTAATCAGCTGTTGCAGATGACCCAGTAACTGATTCTCGGCTAGAAATGCAGCTGATTTACAGCAAGGTCTCGGTGAATCCCGGTCTGGTCGCACAGACGCTGAAAACAAAATAGTACAATCGGTCTTTGCGGAAACATGTCCCGCACCGCAAGACAAGCCGCTTGTCATCGGTTAATCTTGTGCAACCTCTGACAGTGAATCAGGCAGTCCGATTCGATACTGACCTCTATCCGTTTGCCACTGTAACAGATATAGGGTAGACCGAGGCGAATCAGATCATTTCGTGCGTGACTGTAACTGAATAAAAGATCTCGGACCTTAACACGTTCGCTATCAACGTCACATATTTGTGACGGGCGCAATCTTATGCTTTACAGAAGGCAAATGAAATTAATCTTATAGATATTGTTATTTAAAGTTGGAAACTACGGCGTTATATTCGGGAACTCAATAACTCGTTCCAGTTTGATGCTTTCGAAATTTTGTTTAGAAGGTTTATTGGATTGAATGAAATATTTCAATTGAGGTGGTGCCCACCGAAATAAACGCTGGTAGCGAACGTGTAATTAATCATTTGTGCGCTGTGGGCGTGTATTTTTATACATGATTCTCACTGGGCTGCAGTTAATTTCGGTAAATATGTGAAAAACTTGCAGTGTTATAAGAATAATATTTTTGTTGGAAATTATTTATTTTTTGAAGGAGTATTACAAATATATGAGTTTCAAGTAATTATTTATAAGTTTTTAATGTCTAATCATTTTTGCTCGATTGAATTTTGGACGTTTCCTATAGTGAATTTTATAATCATTATTGGGAAAGTCGAGAAGTCAATTCAGAATGTATGATTAAACTTGGAAAGTAATTTTAAGTTCAAAATTCAATTCAATCAAAAAATAGTGTTGATTTCACGCGTTCGATTCGGTGAAACCGGGGAATTAAAATTTAATAACAAGTTAATTAATCGTACGAATTAACATAATTCATCGACCTTCGGATGAGTAAAAGAATATTCCAGAGTATTCAGCACTCAAAAGAAAAGGGATCTTTAAATCTTCTTCTTGCAAGGAAGAAACTAAGAGTGAGAAGTTATTCAGTCCCCTCAAATTCTTGTAAATAGATTCCAAAACTGAATGCTAGCAAAACCAAAAATTGTATAAAATCAAAGATAAATATTATCGATCTCCTTCAAGACTAAAATTGATCTAATTGTAACAATTTCAAGAAGCTTTTTTACCTCTACTTTTCTTCGTTGATAAGCTTCGTAGCTAAAAAACAAGTTTCTTCTTATCAAATAAATAATTCTAAACTTTTACCTATAATTTGAAATTATATTTTGCTAATTTCCAGCTCGCAGTACGACAGTTCAATTGTCAAGGATGATAATCTGTAGAAGTTTCATTCGTTACACTAGAACTAGTTCAACGAACGAAATTGGTGTTAGCAGCAAGTTACGTTTATGCCGTTGGTATGAAATAACATGAGACTATTCTACAAAAACGTTCTCCGCGTTTAAATTTTGATTTAAGACTCCGCGCGAACTTTGCCCGGTAGCTAATAATTTTACACACTTCACGTTCAAGCAGAAGTTGCACCTGAGTCAGTCTGAACATGACTCTCGGTGCCGCCATTCCTCTAGCGCGTAGGTACTCATCGTTATAATGACTGACATCCGAAGGCCTCGCTATTCTAGCTTCGCTCGCGAGTAAATCAGGTTTCCTGTGCCCCGCTTCTGTTTCCAAGGAATTCGAGACACTAAGCATGACACTCTCTGTAAGCTGAACATGAGAATTTTTTCAGTCCCCTTTGTTCCTGTATTATCATTCATTAGCAGATGTAGCATACGAAGGACTGCATATACAGACAACATTGTTCTACGACGACGTTGGTTTAGGTACCACGTGACAAGAAGCACTATTGAGTTAGGCGTAACAAAGGAGCGAAGTCAGCCATTGCGGGCATCGGAGATTTATTTAAGTGTTTTTAGAATTCATGGGAATACAGCACTTCGAAATGTTGTTTAAAAGAAAGACATCATTTATATGTACGATGGTGAATAATATTGATCATCTATTCAATAAATAAACGTAAATGTAATTTCATTTATTGAAATGATTATTTGGCTTCTAGATTTTATTCGGAATTAACTGAATGTAACATGTGAAATATACATGTTTCTTATTTTTGATTTTCCACGTTGAAACTCAGGTGTATAGTGATAATGGTAAATGTTGGGAGAATTGTTTTTAAGAAGAAGTTTAACCGATAATGTCGCAAGTGAGACATTTAAATCTTAAAAAATGGTAATGAATTGAATAGGTGATTAGTGGAGGTTGTTAAATGGCACGGAAGCCTTTTCTTCCTGATTAAAATTTCTTTAAGGACTTCGTTACGCCTTGCCAGAATACGCAAGAATTTTCCACTGGAACTAATGCATTCATACTCACCCTCCACCCCTTCTTTGTCATCGTTCTTATAGTGTAGATCGATATCTCCACCATTTATGCGAGCTCCTCGAAACGAAAAAACTCGTTATTCACGGTCAGCCGGCAATTAACCGTCGATGAGAAACGAAACAAAATCACTCTAGCGTGCAATGTTAAGCATTAATACAAAATCAGATGTTTATATATTATTTATTCCCTTTTTTATCATTGTTTTAATATTTACCACCAACGAAAACGTGATAAGATTTCACTTTTACTTAAACTATCTGAGATTTATGATGTAACATACTTTGCATTATTAGAACAGGTTCAGATAAGATAACATGTGGACCTTCCTAGCGCGTTTCTATTTCACACGAATACGTCTACTTAAAAATATGGACATTTCTTGATAACACGACACAAGCCACAATCAAAAAATTTCAACGAAGTGACGTACCTTAATTGAGACCTCGAACATTTTCCGTTTTAAATGCAAACGGAATTGCAAATGCAAGATTACCGAAACATACAGTTACGCGCCTATTCACGCGGAGAATTTAAAACCAGTTTCCCCTTACATCCACGGACGTGATATTACGGGTTTCACGGGGACACATTTTGTTCTTGCTTTGTAGTCTCAAGAGCCGGCCAACGAGTTCCTCTTTAATGTTACATTTTGCTCACCCCGAATCACGCTGCTCGCCAAGAGAAACTCGTTGTCATTCGAACACACGAATGGCTCGTAGAAAAAAGTAACTAACTCGTTATCAGCCACGGCTGAACTTTAGCAGAACGAAGAATTTTCCTAGTTCATGTAGATATGTGGATCGTACAAGTGTTCGTGTTCTACACTCAATGATGGTGAAATAGTTCTGACTATACTTCTTAGCTTCTTGCTGGGTCCCTCGAGTCACGCCACGTTATTAACAGAAAAACTGCGCCTCCATTTTGAAAAGACTCGGGTCCATTGTGTGTCCACAGAAAGCTCTAAGAAATTCCACTTAAAGTATCCTTTAACGGATTAAATACTGGAATCCTTGTTTAAGGAACAACTGAGGGGTAATCACGTGTAAAGATTAACCTTTTCCACTCGAAACTCGAAAAAAACTCGAAAGAAAAAATAATTTTTGAACGTCACTTAACTGTAAATTAGGGAACAAAACTTTTATTTCGACATTTCACATAGTGATGAATTACAGGAAGTTTAATATTAAATATAAAATTTTATTGTTGTATGAAATCCAGTGAGGACTCGGCGTCAGCGGTGCAAAGAGTTAAAATGGAACACCGTATACGCATATATGGTCCATTAAACTTGAATGAGATCAGTAAATACTCCTTTAATTCCGATTTCGTTCAATTAATCTACAGAAACACAAAGATATGTAAACATTGCTAAAGAGTTCGATGTTGAACAGTTTAGAGTACTCTCTTTCTGTTACGAGAAAGATATGGCCCCACGCTACGCAGTTCACGACGCAACGTCGTATTCTTGCACGAAGAAGCCATTTTGAATATTTACGATAACGAACACTTGCATTTTCCCAATGTTGTTTAACAATTTCCGCTGGAACATTCTTCTTAAGTTCGGCCGCTTCCTTTAAGAATAATCAATACCCACGAGGTACTTGGCACAATGTATATATGTGTCCAGAAGTGTTGGGAAAAATGTTGTTCGGACAACGGATGGAAGATACGAATACCGAATGAAATTGCAATCGATGGTAACAAATAAATAACCTGTTGAATAAGGTTCTATACAATTTATATGAATTCTTACTTGAATGATTATTTGTTTCTTTGTATGGTTTGTATTGACTGTTACTTTATAAAATTAACAAAGAATATACGTAACAGTCAATACAAACCGTACGAATAAACAAATAATCATTCAAGTAAGAATTCATATAAATTGTATTTATACATTGTTATAAAACATAACACATGTACATAAATATAAAATTAACAAAGGATCACGTTTGTAGAATTTTTATGTTATTATACATTCTTCGTATGTTGGATATTATATATTTTTGGACTGTTTAAAATGAAAATGGCCATCGATAACAGAAGGATTTTTCCATGTGTGTAAAGAAATGCATTGACGTAGTCTATCGAAAAAATATTTGCTGAATCAGTAAATAAGTAGCGATACTTTCAGTACTTGCCACTAGATGGCTATTAAAGTAACATTTTTCTCGTAACTACTCGCAGTCACTAAATGTTTCAAACCTCGTTCTTATATAATCTCGTGTCTAACATGGTCTGCTAGATAGCCTTGCTGATAAGACTGCTCTGAAATCTAAGACGGGGCACATACGTTTCTGTTTATATTCATACTCTTCTCCCTATACTTTCATTAGCGGATTTCTAAACTCGTTTTTGTTCAAAATTATTTTTATAATTGTAAGTTATTTGAATAAATCAATTACTTCAATGAATAGATCGATCAATTTACTACTAATAAAGGATAATTATAATATTGAAATTCAATATTCGACACACAAGAATTCATTTCATTGATTACCTTAACGCTAGAACCACCGACATTTCCACGTTTCTTTATGAAAACTACAAACGTGGATTTATTAAGATTTGCATTGGTTTAAATTTCAGTTTAGGCCTTACTAAATCAGCTTCATTAGTCATTTTTCAAAGAAGAATCTGTACCATTGCAGGAATTGCAAAAGAAGCAGTTAGAAACTGGTCATTTTGTGCTACATGGTAGTTCTAGTGTTAAATAGTTGTTTATTCGAGTAAATTGGTTATTTGACGTTGACTGTTAACTGACAAACGAATGATTCAAAGATATCAATCTGTATTGTGCTTCGTACTGAATGTTTTTTACATACACGAGATGTTGAAATCATAGGAATCTAGAGAGATGGAGTTATTAGTTGATTTCATTGTCTGACGTTTCCTTTCGAATATGTTAACTCTGAGGATGCGAAGTATTGATTGCGAATGAGAGAATACGAAAACTAGCAAAGGCATGGTTTGTACCGTTTAATGCGCATCATCTCGACTGTCTGTTTTGATTATCTTCCACATGTTCACGTATTGTACTCACGTACAATATGAAACGACCGTTTTTGTAGGTCAACATAAAAATGACATATTCACTAAGTAATCATTGTTATCTTCTCACAGTATACATTTTGTACGGATAGTTTTATTACGTTTCACTGTATTGTTTGTCTCTTTAGTGTTTAACACGTTGACTGTCATTATGCTCACTGATGACCGGAGCTTCGAAATTGCTTGAAAACAATGACAATAAGAAAATTGATATTGAATCAGAATCTTTAATAACATAAGCAGGTAGATGATAGCGTAATATGAGTACTGTAATACCATCATTACTAATCACTATAGCAAAACGCTCGAAATTCTCGAGGCAATCTGTTAAATTGTCAATCGAAAGATAATGAAACAAAATTCTTTTAATCACTGTGCTGTGAACTGTTAACTGAAAGTCTAAATTGTAAAAATGGTAAAAAGGAATGTGCTTTTTTTGCCAATTCTTTCAGGCATGTTCAAGCTATCCATTGCTATCAGAAGGTACTTTATATTTACGAGTTTAAAAATGTGACGTTCAACCTTGTGCCCACGTTATGTTTATGTATTATTCGCCTACCTTAAATTTATATGTGACCGTGGATGACCATGTATTGACCAACAGAATACGATAAAATAATTCCTCCCTCGTTCGCGCAGGATCTGGGACACTTTGTCTATAATTGGATGTCGTTACTATTTCCAAGAACTTCTTAACGTGAGAGACACGTTAGCCACGGTTCGTCAACGACCGATTGTCCAGCGTGGCAAAAAGAATGTAGCAAATATCACTGATTGCCTGGTTTAATCAAAGAATAAAATACAATATGTTGAAATTTTTCAATAATTGTTCCGTGAAAATAAAATCAAACTTGACTCCAATCACCTTCATACAATTTTTAATAATAACCTTTAGCGTTGATATGTTTTGAAGGCATTTCGAGGTACCATTTTCATTAAAATGCAGTTACAAATCAAATATGCTTAACCTCTTATTTCTAATTGAATTATTTCTTATGTTTATTTACGACCAAGTACAAAGAGTTAAGAATGAAATTATTCGATAATTCGAAGGCATTTCGAGGTACCATTTTCATTAAAATGCAGTTACAAATCAAATATGCTTGACCTCTTATTTCTAATTGAATTATTTCTTATGCTTATTTACGACCAAATACAAAGAGATAAGAATGCAATTATTCGATAATTCTCATTAAAATGCAGTTACAAATTAAATATGCTTAAACTCTTATTTCTTATGCTTATTTACAATTCATGTCCATATTTCTTATTCCGAATTTAATTTAATATAGAGACACTTGTATCTGCACTCTAATGATCGTAAAATATGTTTGTACTGAACGTATGTTGAAATAATAACAGCCTTGAAGCCTGTAATAAAAGCAATGATGGAAGATAAGAATACTATTTCATAAGATAAGTAATGGATAATATCAAACGAAGTTGAAGGCAGTGTAATCAAGCGTTATTTTTCTACCAAAGGTTTTTGTAAAACGGTCCGTAGGCTGCATTAGACGATAGCTAGTAATCAAATGTACTAATGAAATGTTATAGAAATGATTATCTGAAAAGGGCGTACGTAAGGGTAGACCCACAATGGTAAAGAGCTCACAATTACAACATCCCGATAATATTAAAAATATTCTCGATCTGCTCTTGGAATGAGGACGATGGGAATATCTCCATCGTAATAAAAATATATTTTAAACCGTATTGGACTTGATTTGAAATTTTCAAAAGAATAGTTTCTTAATGTTTCTAAAACACTTTTCATTCCACGAAACATGTTAACATTAAATTGAATTTACTAATCCTCTGCGGACGAACGTCGACATTTTGCTGACACCAAACTTTCATGTTCGGAATACTAAGTTGCAAACAAATGATTTAACTATTGAAACAGCAAGAAAGCAGTGCATGGTTTCCTCATTCTCTATTGTTTAAGCATTCAGTATATAATTTGGCACAATCTGCAGAAGATTCCGTATAGTTCAAACAATCTTCGTCCGCAAAGCGTTAAATATGAAGTTCCTCAGTTTTTCCTCCTCAGTTCCTTCTCAATTCATAGTGAACAAATTATATTTTCGACGAACAGTTAATATTTATTTAGAAACGATTGAAATAGTATAGTGAAATTAGCGGTGAAATTAATCATAAGGCAGGAGATTAAATCGAATCAGTTCAGGTATCATGATTACAAAAACGATTCCGAAGATTTTATCAGTTTCGTTCGAATGATTATCTTAAGTGACTGAAGTTAACAACATCCCCGAATTTCTAACGATTTTTAATTGTCCTTAAAGTGATGTATGATATATCTATATACAAACTACTAATACACTGTACGACTTTTCGTTTGCCTTATTTTTACCTTTGCAAAAATCGATCCGCATAATTCTCTACCTCATTTTCATCAGCAATACATCACTAACGTGTCAATAATTTGTAGCAATACAACGAAAAATTGAAACATCTTTTAGTTTCAATAACGATTTACTAATTTAGTAAATTTACGTCTCGTTGGTCCTTCTCGCTCTTCACCGATGATCGTTGACTTACGTTGTTAACACTGAAACTACCGAGCACGTAAATTGACTTTTAAAATTCCTCTATAGAAACTTCAAGAGTACATGTATTCAGACTTGAATTGATTTATATTTCAGTTTGCATATTACTAAATCAATTCCTTTAATAATTTCTCGGAGAAACATCTGTTATCTTATTAACACGTTGAATCTTTTCGATTCTTTTGTTTCGCAATTATTAATATCTTAATAGCATTGAATATTCCAAATGACCTTGAAAATAAGTAATTTCCCATGAATACTATAATGAATATCCGAAGGAACTGAAAATAATCCACTGTTACAATTTTTATAAAGATTACATATTAATCTTATGAAATGCTCGGTAGTTCTAATGTTAACACATTGTTGACCGGTCACGAGTTAATTCGCGTCCGCGTCTGTATTAGCTATTTCAATTTTTGAGACGCAGGAAATATAAGATATTGCAAAAGTAAAATATTCAAAGTTTCATTTAAATTCATTATTGAAATTTATTCAAATTGTCTCACTTTCATATTTAATTACCGGAGTAATAACCGGTGACACGTGATTGCTTCCGTGTAAAATTACCGGTTAACAATGTGTTAAATAATATCGAGACGGAATTATTCCGCTCTCTTCTTGGCAACGTGTAACTTGTCGTTTCTTCGTGTTACGTTTCCAATACCAGAGAAAAATCATATTTATCGTATTATTTTCAGAGCTGCCAAGGATCTAGAGGAACGCCGTAGCCATTATGAGCCCTCGCTCGGACCTGGTGTACCGGATGACATCGACCATAGTTTCAACCTCGAGGAAAATGACTTCGTGCCACACTTTCAGAGAGTTTCGATATCCGGGGAAGATACTTCCGGAGTACGTAAAAATATTCAATCTTTCGTGATTAGCGTTCTCGTTCCGTGAATACGCTAATTTCATTACTGCTACAGGATTAACCCCTTCTATGCGTTATCAGTTTAGACTTAAACCGACGCAGCAAAATTATACAGTTTGATATTCAATATTAATCCTTTGCGGTCGAATACTGTTGCAATTACGACTCCTAGCTTTCATGTCTAAAATTGAATGCTGCAAATGAATGATTTCATTATTCAAATGAGGAGAGAGTTGTACGTGGTTTTCTTCTTCTCTGTTCCCTATTATTTTATTTCTTTCTTAAGAAAGTGTACTGAAACCATGGAAATACTGAATTGAACTGAATTAACCCTTTCGGTCATGACGTCCTCATATGACATACTAAATGAATGTTTGGTGTATCTAAATTCGGTAAATTTTATTGTTTGTAAATTTGACGTTGTCCTGATATTATCAAAACCATGGATTCTATTCGACAATGGTGTCGACTACTCTTATCAAATTTTGTTATCACAAAGTAAAACTAAAGGCGCATTCGAGTGGACTCAGGAAAAAGTAATTCGTGACCGAAAGAGTTAAGGCAATCTAAATTAATCACATTTGTGTAATATATGACCAACGGAACACGTAATTGTTGAATTAGAATTCACTCGCGTCTGATCCGAGCTTGATTGAAATTAATAAGAAGATCTAATCTAAGTAGGTTAATTTCTTATTATTATATTGTTTCTTTCTTCATTCGGTTTCTTATGGAAAGAGTTTTAGACGTTTAAACAAATTTTCGTCGGCAAAGGGTTAAATTTTGTGTAACATATGTATAGATTGAATGTAGAAATGAGATTCTGATTCTTTTAAGTTACTTATAATTTCTCATTATATATCAAATGTAATAGAAATATCGATATTTGATCAGAAAATGATGAAGATTTAGGATGGAAAGACTTTCAAGAGGGTTAAAAATGCAATTATTCGATAATTTAATGGTAATTATTGTAATCGAGAACATGGTGTACAGACTATTGGTGTAAAATGAAATTATTTCAGTTTCTAAGCACTCAGAAAGATAAATTTGTTCTTCCTGGGGCTTGCTGAGTTTTAGCATCAGTAAAGCGTGAAGGTAAATCCGCCTTAAGTGGTAGAACAATCGAATTTGTAGAAATATCTGATAAGAGATACATATATATCTCTTATCGGTGGTATATCGGTTAAATAGCAATCATCAACATTTCACGTTGATAAAAAAATCATTGCTATCGGCACGCGTACGTAATATTGATCGCTACTGACTTTGTTGGAGAAACGCGTTAATATGTAACGTATGTACCCGGTGTCTCACTTGAATTGAATGTGAAAGTAGTGAAATGGGAGCAATGAAAAGACCTAAAGACATGATTCATTGAAAGTTCGTTATATATATTTGAATAGTATAATAATAGTAGTGAAGGGTTGGTTCCATTTTCCTATAAGTATTATTTACTATTATTATTCGTAATGTCAGTTAAGTAAGTCACGTTAAATTGCAGTAAAATTAACAGGTAGCCAACCATCTGAAAAAAACTATGATTATAACCTTCCTCATTAACTTCAATTGAGCTTATTTAACTGAGTTTGTTAAACACTTCGTTTTATAAATGCGAGGAAGGTATTTGACTAGTTACAGGTAACTCCAAATCAAAACTTACTAAATAACAAAAGAAAAAAACAAACAAAATGAAAGGCAATAATTTCTGAAGTGAAAACCCAAAGAACCTTCAGGCAGTAACCGGTTAAAGCATAAACCAGAAGCTAAGCTTAGTTATTATGCAAAAATGTGAGCGTGATTACACAATGTGTGTTACGTGGTAAACCCGATCTTGCCTTTTCGTAGTTTCTATGAGAGGAAACCTTAACAGTGCTGCTTTACAGAGGAAACCTTAGTTAACAACTATCACCCTCTTCCGCTACCACTTCCAAGTTCCGTTATGCTATCAGAAGCTCTTTAATTTCTAAGATACTGTCGTTTCTCTTTGTTTGTGACCTTCATTCCAATGCGATTCGTTTGAAAGACAATTGATATATTACAGTTTATGTAGGAACGTATTGATTTAATTATGGTAGCAGCAATTTATTAGAGCTGATTAGGACACTTACGAAATATGAAATGAATTGGAAACATTGTTAAAACGTTATTCAGTTTTTAATCAAGTTTTATGTATGTTCAAGTTTTAATAATTAAAAAATTTTGAATATATTCCATTAAAAAAATGACTTAACCTTGAAATCTTCTTTCACTACACTACACCCACAAAAGAATGATTCCATGTATTTGATTAAAAGAAACACCCTATATATTTATTTCATTCTTTTTCGTGATTCAGATGAACGTAATAAATTCCCAAAGTTTGTACACCTATCTCCATTACAAAGAGCATATTATTAGAAAGGTTTCTAATTAATTTCAATTTTATTAAGATTTTAATAAAATTAAGGCAACAGATTATAATCTGTTACATTAAACATATTGGATACTATTTTGATATATCGTTATGTTTATCAACCCTTTACACTCGGGAGCTGACTCTCAGTCACCATTTGATTTGATGCGGCAAAACTATAAAATCTAATATTATATTTAATGTTCAACTTTGTATAATGCCTCGATATGTGAAATATTAGAATAAAATAGCTTTGTTCCTCAGTGTACTTGTAGTTTCCCTTCGAGTTAATTTCAAAGAATATTGTCTTTGTCTTGTAAAAAAATGTTAAATATTTCTAGCGAGAAACTTCCGAGTGCAAAGGGTTAATATCTTTATGCAAAGTTCAAAGGAACAAGAATTTCAAATACCTGTGACTTCGTAAAATGATTTGAAGCGTATATTTAAGGTACCTCTGGAAGATCTTCAACAGGCGTCCCAGTTGCTGGTCCAAGCGCTGGCCATACGTGAAAGATACATGAACAACTCGAAACAGAGTTTCCCTTCCATAACGTCGCGGTTTTTGCGTAGCATCGACAAAAGGCCAGTGAACAGTGACGATGAAGTCCAGCACGATGACCGTAAAGCCATCGCAGGTATGTGCAATACAATCGTATCGACATTGTTACATTTCATTGTTCAAATCGATAGAAGTGTGTTGATCCTCGGATATTGGCTTTACCTGTGGCCGGGTCATTTATGACCCATGCGTATTTTAAACCATTTATATGCAAATATTTTATAGCCACTTAAACTACGAGTCGTAAATTTCTTTAGTCACATTAAATGTTAACATCATAGAAGAATAAAGAAATAGAGCGTATTTATAAACATTGTGAAGGTAAACAGTGTTTATTTATTATTTTCTTATCGTTGCATCTTGTGCAAATGATTTTAGATTCTTTTGGTGGATAAATATAGTTGTTGCGATTTGTTAATATATTTATCGTCGTCGACGACACGAATGAAGCGTCGAAAGTTATATTTGTAGTATACGTCAGAGAACAAATCGCTTTCATTTAAGAATAAGTTTGCAAAAAGATCGATCAATGAATAATTATTCTATACGAAAGAATCAATGAAAAATATAGAATAAATTTCTTTTTATTTACAACGTCGCTTTTGAAAATATCGAGTTCGTATTCATGTTTGCATCTTGGAAAAATATAAGAAAGCGCTCGATTAACTTTGTAATTAAATAATCAACCTGCGACGCTCGGGTCACAAAAGACCCGCCCGCCGAAGACAAGGGTTAAATAATATCGCTGAAATATCTGCATTACGGTGCATTCTCTTACGTCGAATGATTATGGTTTCATCTCGATATTTGTTGGGTTGTTTTCACTCGTTCAACATAAACGATTGCATATAAAAACGGAAGGTATGGGTCAAGCATGTTTGTACGAAGTATTTTTTCCCAAACTTTCATCAATGTTGACGTATAAAAATTCCGTGTTAGCCTTTATTAAACGAATGCGACTCCTCCTACGAGAGAACGATCACAACAAATGAATTTCACGAAAACAAAGATCTCACACACAGAATTTCACCGGTTCACCTCGTGCAATCAAACATACCACAATCGATAAAGGAGGCAAAATATCAAAATTATGGTAAAATTAAAAATAAATAATAAGCATGAGGAAATATCGTTTGTAGTCGATAAAATGAATAAATCTATTTATATTTTTATATAAAACAAAATTGGGGATGCTGCAGTTCCACAGTGCCTATGCGCGAGCCGCCACTGAAAATCATAGCTATTAACCCCTTGCCCTACAATATGGCGTTAGACTCGTAGTGAAGATTCCAAATAGAATTTAACAAACAGCAATATCATTCAATTCATTCGAATGTAAGTTTACCTTAGAGCAGACGTTGACATAAAATAAGAATTTTCTCTTGTTTCCAATAAATTATCAATAACAAAGTAGTTAGTTCGATCACAATTCAGAAAGAAATCATAAGGCAAGGGGTTAATATTCGTTAAAGCGTTCAGTAATTAAGAGACGACTGTTTAGGTGGTAATGCTTTTAGATTTTGTTCGACTGCTGTTAACATTTGTTCTCTTTATATGTCACTCTTAGATCATCCCGTACACGCACCTGCATCTCGGGGAGACCCGTGGGAATGTGAATTCCCGCCGTCGAAAAATTACAAAATCTCACCGGTTAACGGTGTTTTCAATCTGTACGCTAGCGAAGAAGATTTTGTTGAGGGAAAACCGATTCCGTATTCGTATCCAGATTTGGCGGTTTTTGTCAGGGACATGAATCTCCTCTGTACAATGATCGCCGACGGCCCCTTGAAATCGTTTTGCTACAGAAGACTGAGTTACCTTTCGTCAAAATTCCAATTGCATGTATTACTGAACGAGCTTAGGGAACTTGCGAGCCAAAAGGCAGTTCCGCACAGGGATTTTTATAACATCAGAAAGGTCAGTATAGCAAAGACACGTACAATGGGATAGGACACGCGTTAACACTTTGACTGCCGCGTCTGTTTTTCACGGAAACTTGGACATCAACCCTTTGCACTCGGAAGTTTTTCATTAGAAATGTTTGAACATTTTCTGACGAGATGAAGATATTTTGTGAAACGAAGAGAGATCACACGTACATGAGGAACAAAGCTGTTTTATTTCAATAGTTTTCAAATTGATGCATTATACGAAGTTATTACACAGCAAATTTTATAGTTTCACTGTGTGACATTAAGTGATGAGTCACCTCTCGAGTGCAAAGGGTTAATTTTCTTGGTGCCGTATCGAGCAAACCGAATTTTGTTGGATACATGAGATATAAGAAAAATAGTGGAGCAATTATTAGGAAGAATCTTGACTTCTCAGTTTCTGGTTAAGGAAGAAAACCCTTTCGAGTGCACAGAAGTTTTAATGAGTGTTTACGTGGCAGACAAAGTGTTGAACTGAGTAGTTAATCGGTGGAAAGCTACATTGAAATTGTGAAAGTAGTTGGTTTTTATTTAGACATTTGTTTTTATTAATCTGGTAACAGGGAAAATTAACGAAACACTTTTGAACACTTTACACATGTAGTATCTCTTTTCACTTTTATAAGTAGCTTCAAAGGCTAACGTTATTAGCGACCATAATTTAGTCTTCTCCCACTGAGAAATTCAATTTTTAAGTTAACTCTTTCTTTCTTACTTCAACGTTATTAGTATATGTACATTATACTTTTTACATGAAATTATAGATATTCCAAATAACATTACATCTAGACCAACTTTTGTCACGCAAGCTTAGAGAACTACTAAACTAAAAAATTCAAAATCGTGACTGGAATAATAGATGAAAAAGAATATTTGAAAAATACATAGAAAATCCTAGATTTTCGAAACACAACTACCATTTAATTAGACAAGTGGGAAGATTAATATTATTTAGTGGTCGTCTAACTTAATGTCTAAACATAAGAATTTATTTTTACAAACAATTCAAACCAATCCGAAAATATACGATTACCATCGATTACGAATAAATCACCATTGTTTCACTGTAATTGTAGGTTGACACACACATTCACGCAGCCTCGTGTATGAATCAAAAGCACCTCCTCAGGTTCATTAAAAAGACCCTGAAGAATCACGCGGACGAGATAGTAACGTGCTCAAAAAACGGAGAAACTATGACTCTCCGAGAAGTGTTTCAGTCCATGAATTTGACCACTTACGACCTCAGCGTTGACATGTTAGATGTACACGCAGTGAGTACTTGCCGATACTTTAGCCGCGAATCAGACGAACGCATAATTTAACACATTGACTACCGAGGGCTAGTTCACTAGTCCACATGTGTTAGCCATGTACCCCAAGTCTATTATACAAGTCATGTAATCTACAAGTAAACTAGTTCTTGTGGTATTGCAGTTGAATGAAACTGTCTACCTCAATGACAAGTTTACAAGCTGTCAAAATTACATTGAACTATCAAAATAAGTTTTGTATCACTCTTAAGTATCAATGTAACAAAAATAGTATTAATTAATAATAAAAATTGTAGATATAATATATTAACCCTTAACTTACTCGCCCATAAGATGTTATATTATGGTAAATATTTTTGTCAGTGCATGATCAACAAACCAATGATGTAATAAGTTGCAATATTTGATAAAGAAAACTACAACGATGATAAATAAATGAAATGAAAACTAAATTCTTTCCATGTCCCCATTCGGCCCTTTCGGCTGTTAAGGGGTAAAATGTAAATATTTGAAAAAAACAACAAAATGATATGAATAATAGTAGCTTGGGGTACGAGGTAAGTTTCCATATTTTCTAGCGATAGTCAACGTGTTAAGAATGCGTGTGATTCTCTTTTTGTAGGATAGAAACACGTTCCATAGATTCGATAAATTCAATGCCAAGTATAATCCGATCGGGGAGAGTCGGCTTCGCGAGGTCTTCTTGAAAACGGACAACTATCTGAACGGGAAGTTTTTCGCGAGCATTATCAAAGAGGTTGCCAGCGATCTTGAAGAATCGAAATACCAAAACGCGGAGCTGCGTCTCTCGATTTACGGTAAAAACCCCGAAGAATGGGACAAATTAGCGAAATGGGCTATTCAGAGCGACGTGTACTCAGACAACGTGCGTTGGCTCATTCAAATACCTCGGCTTTAGTAAGTTACTTTTGCCCTTTCACGCTCGTGATCTTGATTTTTCGAAACTCCGCTCGACAAATTTATTAACCCTTTCCACTCGACGATGCTTTTCACTACGAATATTCATTACTTTCTGATGAGACATCGGTGATATTTTTCGTAAGTCACACGACAAAATATCTTACATAAATTAAGGGACTATTTTATTTCGATGTTCCATGAGTTGATGTGTTACAGAAAATTTAAACTAGAACTGCCGAGCACTTAAACTTATAATTTCGCAACGTTAAATGAGATGGTTGCTCTCGAGTGCAAAGGATTCTTATCAAAATTATAATAATATATGTTTTTAGCGTCTTCGTAGATTCATTACAGTACTCAAATGAAGGTATTTATTTATAACATCACTTCGGATATTTAACACTTCTAAGATATTAATAACTGCAAATAAGGAAACTTATGCTCATGATACGAGTGAATGGATTTCATATGTTTTACACTTTCTTTTCGAATTCATTTGTCTTATTTCTTAATTATGAGACGGACCGAAGAATATTTCACGCATGTATTTTTTGTCGGCAATCGTTCATATTTAAGGGATGAAAACAACCTTTCAAAAAAAAGGAAAAAGAACGTGAAAGTTATTTAATAAATTATCTTTAAATGGGAATTATTTGAATATAAACATTATAGTCATAGAATTGTTTTCACAGCACATAAATGATGTGCCCTGTATTTAGTTCCTATTATTTTATATTGTTATTTTTATTTTATTGGTTTAGAGAATTATTGGAATTGTTATTTACTTCCAGTGATATCTTCAAGTTAAACAAACTGATGACAAACTTCCAGGAGATTTTAAATAATATCTTCCTTCCTCTATTTGAAGTAACAAATGATCCCGATTCTCATCCAGAGTTACACAAATTCCTTCAATATGTAAGTCATATATTAAACACATGCATTACCATGAAACACGTTAATAATTTAAACATCGTCACAGGTGATAGGATTTGATTCGGTTGACGATGAAAGTAAGCCTGAAAATCCTTTATTTGATAAGGATGTTTGCCCACCGGCAGAATGGGATGACATTGAAAATCCTCCCTATGGATATTATCAGTACTACACTTATGCTAACATGACTGTTTTAAATCATTTTAGAGCGTAAGTTATTTCATGTGAATCTTTCTTATTTATTTTGATAATATGTATGTGATTTAGATGCACTGTCATATTTTACAGTGAACGAGGTTTTAACACCTTCGTTCTTAGACCTCATTGTGGTGAAGCAGGTCCAATTCAACATCTTGTGTGTGGTTACATGATGGCAGAGAATATTTCCCATGGTCTTTTACTCCGAAAAGTTCCAGTACTGCAGTACTTGTACTATTTGGCACAAATTGGGATAGCTATGTCACCTCTCAGTAATAATTCTCTCTTTTTGAACTATCATCGCAATCCTCTTCCAGAATACTTAGCTAGAGGTTTATGTATAAGCTTGTCTACAGATGATCCACTTCAATTCCACTTTACTAAGGTTAGCATAATTCTACTTTGCATATATTTATTTAAGGATCTACTTCTTGATTTCCATTGGTTTATATATTATTCATATTTCCGTACAGGAACCTTTAATGGAAGAATACAGTATTGCTGCGCAAGTATGGAAACTCAGTTCATGCGATATGTGTGAACTAGCACGTAATTCAGTACTTATGAGTGGTTTTCCACACAAGGTATGTATTCCATGTAAGTACATACATATGTATGTATGTATGATGAAGTAATGGTCCTTTTTGTCCTTTATTCGTAGAGTAAACAATACTGGCTTGGACCAAATTATACTAAGGAAGGAGTAGCTGGTAATGATATTACCCGAACAAATGTGCCAGACATTCGAGTAGCCTATCGTTATGAAACTTTAGTCGACGAGTTGTCAAACATTTTTAAAGTCGTTGAAAAACCTGAAGCCGTTCCATTTTAACTTTAGTCGAAATATGTATATTACTTTATGACTGCAAATCGTATCCACAAGATTCGATGAAATTCTATCGAAAAATATTTAAAACGCGAACTATAACTAATCATGTGATTTATGCTAACGATCTTTGTGAACCTTAAATGATTCCTTTGTAAAAGGTATTTCTTTTATTGAATGTATAACAATATGAGAATTATTTTTTTAACAGTAGTTATAGAACCATTAAGTGCAATTTAAATGATATCCTTTGTATGCCACGTATCAGTTTATACACTGTCAATAACTTCTAAGCGTACCATCTGTATATATTGATAATTTGAAAATTTTCTTTTCTTTTTACATCGTCAGATATTTCAAGCATGGAAACATATATTATCCCATATAAATATAAATTAAGTTACAGGGAAATATCTTTTATTCAGATCCCAGAATTTTGATATAAGACAAGGATAAATTAATCTGAAATTTTTCACACACGTTGACCAATATGTTAATAGTTAGGTATTAGATAGGATTAAAGTTTGAACTGCTCCAATTTTTAGTATCCATATTAAATCGAATATTATTATATAAATTCAACTAAACTGAATACTGTATTAATTTTATGTTATAAATGTATGATATACAGTAAAGAAATAATTTTTTATGCCTTAGTCGCAGTAAAAATTGTCAGCCCAACTTTCAGAATTTAGTTTTAGTTTCTTATCTTTTTGTACATTTATACAGCCTGTATGATATTTGTTTTTAACATGTGTCTTTAACTTGTAAACGGATAGTTTTTTTGTAGATTATACATGTATACCTTATCATGTCTGTATGGTATTATTTTAATGAATGTGTAAACACAAGATTTGAGTGTACTAAATTGAATATTCTGTACAAATCAATCATGAAGGTATGATACAAAAAATTATACCATTTACCTTTAAACTATTAGCATGCAAATAATAAAGTATTTCGTTTCTTGAAACAATTTTTCCATCAACAAGCTTTTACTGGCAAATGTGTAATAATAATAATAACAACAAAAACAACAATAATAATAACAACAATAACAATAATAATGTACAAGTATATATGCATACTATGTCCTAATATTAAACACAAATTGTTACTAGGTAGGAAAAATGTATTTATTGTACATACTATATTCTAAAAAAAAAAGAAATACACTTATATTGTTAAAATGGATGTGTTGTTTATTAAAAAAGGCCGCGCCTTTATTGCAATTGTTTTACGTGATATGTTAGTTATACAATTTAATAATCAACGGCGTTGATTGGCATGGACTCTCTAAACAAATCGCTGTGTCACACATGTGATGCGTGGTTGTGAACGTGCTAATTAGAACTAATACTTGTAACATAATAATTAATCAAGACTATGTTGTTAAAAAATCATAATATTAGAATATCAATTGTGGTCAAATGTTTATTTTTATTATTTCTTATTACTGTCCCTATCAAAAGAAGACTATTATTTTCAAGTACCGGGGAAACAAAGTTCTACTGTTTCGCAAAAATTGGATAAAAAAACTTCATATCTATTTTCTTCCAAAATCGCAAAATGCTACGGCGCCGCAGTGGGATTATGTCATAATTTGTGTGAACTGTTGTAAGTAAATAATTGAAGTGTAGTTTAGTGATTCATTTTTTTTTATTAATTCAATACTAAATTGAAAATAAAAAAATCAGTTTACAAAATTAATTCTGTATAACATACAATTGTGAATAAAGTATAATTTAAAAGTTTTAAAAATATTATGCTTGTTTTATCCATATTATCATTTATTATTGGACCTTCTTTGTTTCTTCTTTAGGGCGTAAACTTTCTGCAATCTTTGGTACTATTTCTGTAAATATCACAGTTCCTACAAAGACTAGGATCGTACCAATCCAATGGTAGATTGTGAAAGGATTTTGAAAGTATATTATAGAGAAAATTAATGATAAAAATTTTCGTAGTGTTAATACTAGCGTTACTGTAAGAGATGTGCATTCTGTTGTTAATACAAACACAGAACTAATGCACATGTATCTAAATTAAATGTTAAGGTTACATTGCATATAGTAAATTCAATTTTTTTAGTTTAAATAAATTAATTAAATAGTATAATTGTAAAAGGATACTGTGTAAGGACATTTCCAATAAGATATACAATTAATTTTGGCACATGCATATTGAGCATTGATATCTTCAGTGGTTCTGAAGTAACTGCATATGCAAAGTGTTCCCAAATATTGGGAATTAATGTTAAAAAGAATGGCAGGGGCAATAAATGCTGAAAAGATATTAGACATTAGATATTCTATATACATTTGATAGGACAGCAATAAGGTAACTGTGTACATACCGTATAATATAATGCTTCCATTGCATTTTTTCCATATTTTTTATGTAATTCTTCTTGGTAAATACCCATTCTAGCAGAAATAAATAATGCAATTGTTAATAATGATATACCTAATGCCCACCAAAAGAAATCTTCCCATGGAGTTGTAGGTACTTGTTCAACATTTTTAGCTTGTAGTGATTTTATTTCTTTACTACTAATAATTGTACAAATTGCAATTCCAAGAGTAATCATTAACACTGATAAATATTTGCTGAATACATATTTTTTCTTTAAAATAATAATACCCATAATCATATTTGCTATCAAGGAACCCTAGGAAAATATAAAATATTAATTACATTTCAAGAACTTAAATATCAGGGTACTTCAACCTTGAGTACTCACAGCTCTGAATATCATATGCAATGGCATAGGTATATTAAAATCAAATGCATAATTGTTGCAAACGTTTGTCAGGAAAAACATTGTTACTAATACAAAGTAATCTTTTATTCCTATATTGGGTTTTACAGTCCCACATTTTGAAGTAAATAAAAATCCTTCGAATGAAATAAAAAGGAATTGTGAAAATGTAATAAGATTTCCACTACCAGGATCTTCTCTGAAAGAAGATATTAATACCATTTCATTAATACTAGCAGAAATATTTAAACTTAACAGAACGTTCAAGCATCACTTAAATGAAATTTCATGTATTTCTATCTTTGAATTTGACAATAATGGAGAGCAAATGAATGTTCTGTTATAAAACAATATAAAAATAATTATTCGATATTTACTTTACAAGAAGCTCCAGAAAAACAACATTGCTGCAACAACCGATGAAAACGCATGCAATTGCAATAGCTGCATTCATGTTTGGTTAAACTTTATTTAAAAAAAAAGTTAACCTAAATCACTCAAGCACCAGCGTATTTTCTTTTCGATTTTACTACTCTATATGAAAACCATGGCACACTTTGGTTAACTGGTTTGTAAATTATCGTGAACTCGCTATATATGGTAATATAATGTATCACATAAACGTCACATGATTTCTCCCATTGGCAAACGCAATAAGGCCTATACTGTTCTTTGAAACCTGAAACGCTACTCGATCATGCGCAACCACATTTTAAAGAACTTCACTAACACTATCTTATATAAGATAAAATTTATGTAACTCTTAAGTGCACAATGACGAGATAAAGTTTGCGTCATTACTCTTAAACGCCGGTAATAAATATATTGTTCTCCGTTTTCAAACTGATAACATTTAATTACAATTTATTTTATTATATATGTATTATATATATATTATACCGAACGTTGTGAATCATATAGAAAGGGGGTAGATTTTTATGCAAACTCATGTTTCTTGGAAGTTACTCACACACAGAGGAAAAAAATATATTACACGTATAAACTCCAGAGTTCATCTACGATAAACTATATTTTATATCATTTTATATTTTTCTTCCTTTTATGAAAGTATTTCTTATGCTATAATCAGATCTACATAATGAGATTAATGTAATATTTAATTTAAATTAATGTTTTATGTAGACACAATAAGGAATAGAATAAAGATTTTTGTATAGCATAAGCTCTGTTGATACAAAAATAAGGCCTTAGGCATTTCCTTGTTATTTATTTTATAAATTACCATACATGTCAAATTATTTATATTAATACATACTTCAATAAATTAAAAATAAATGAAATTTGTATTAATTATTAATACAGATTAAATTGTATAACTTTTGGAGATTTTTCTATGCAATAAATGTATTACAATTTAGCCAATAATTTACACATTGCTTATCAGTACAATTGTAACAATATACAGTGGTATCTTGACTTACGAACTGCTTTGCATACGAACTTGGTTCATATTCCATTTTGACCTATATATACGGACTTAATTTCGAGAAATAAACTGTGATGCTATAATCCCGAGTTATAATATAAAAACTGAATTTCAAAATAAGAACTTTGAACTGGAACTAATTAAATTCATATTATTCTTATCATCCCATCGAGAACACGGTCGACCGGCTTTTCAAGTTGGGGGGCAAAGGGAGACGTCAACACGAACGCTCGATCCGATTGTTATGCTGTCACAGTTTTGGCACGTTTTCGTACTAGTCGAGCCGCGGGACGGAGAAAGCAGACAACTAATAACAAGGTCGTGCCGAAACCGAGCCGTCATAACAATTGGTCCGAGCGGGGCGAGTGGACGTCTGCTCTGAATCCTGTGCACTTTTAACCCTTTATAGATATAACGGTTTCTGATCGGAAAATTGTTGCAATATCGTTTAGTACTTTGGTGACCCACTTTTACAACAGCTGGTATAAGTTTTAGAAATACATATTTATTTCACATAGTTTAATAGAAGAAATAATAATAATGAGACTTTAGAAAACAAAAGTATATTTTATTCGCTGTTGCTAAATTTAAATCGCGTAAATTGAGATCGCGCGTAGAAACTACTGTGTAAAAAAGAGGCTCACGTGAAAAAAGTCCGTGTAAATCGAGGGTCAGATGTGTATATATATATATTATTATAAACTATAATATAAATATATAATGTATACTATATATAATTTATACATAATATATTTATATATACATATATATATATATATTATATATTTATATATTTATATATACATATATATATATATTATATATTTATATATTTATATTAAATATTAATTGTATTAAATGCTCGGTAGTTCTATTATAGTAGTAGTATTATATATTATACGGCACTAACGTAACAGGCGAATAATACATGTATGGGAATAAGAAGGATAGAGATAG